CAGAACAAGGGCAAAACTGTGTACTTGAGCAGCCAGAGACAGAGAGAGAGCTCGAGACAGCCATAAGCTGACAGATTTGCGTCCCTGAATAGTGTGCATAAGCTATATATTCCGTATATCTCAAGAACTAAAGCTCTATAGCCTAGATATAGAAACATTTTATGATTGTCTATGGCATATATAGAACAAGTGCAACATTATGTACTTGAGCAACCAGAGAGAGAGAGAGAGGGAGAGAGAGGGAGAGAGATGGAGAGAGAGAGAGAGCGAGAGATATAGAGAGAGACAGAGAGAGCGAGAGATAGAGAGAGAGACAGAGAGAGGGAGAGAGAAAGAGAGAGAGAGAGAGCGCGAGAGATAGATAGAGAGAGAGAGAGAGAGAGAGAGAGAGAGAGAGAGAGAGAGATAGAGAGAGATAGAGAGCCTTAAAGCTAACAGACTTCGGTTTAAAGGAAATCCTTTAATATATATAAAAGCTTTATACTTAATATCTCTCAAGAACTAAAGCTCTATAGCCTAGATAGGGAAATGGATAGAGCTCGGGACAGCTATAAAGCTGATTGATTTGCGTTCAAAGAAAATCCCTGTATACTATGGTATACAGCTGCATATTCCATATATCTCAAGAACTAAAGCTCTAAAGACTATAGGAACACATATTCGGCATCTATAAACAAATATAGTCCTGGCCTATGGATTAGGTTACTCTTAACTTATGAGAGACTATTGAAAAGTAATGCCAAGTTAATCGTTTAGGGAGCATTCAAGTTAGGCTAGACTCTCAACAAGAACAAGTCTATATAATTGGCTTAGAAGATTTGCACAGATCAACCTTTTTCATAGTTCGCCAACTGTTCACATTCAAATGGAATCCTTAGCCAGCACCTTTCTATGGCGGCAATATCGCTTGCATTAATAGATTTATACAAATCAAACTATTTATAATTGGCAAATTTCTAAGTCAAAGTCTTTCCAAGTTAACAACGCTTTCTCAATGCCAATATTTGGCCAAACGGAACTACTTTCATTATAAGACCTGGCACCCATGATTGATGGTCTGGGCTCCGACAAAGATACTCAATTAATATATACTCCATTTATATTTGTTTTATTTTGAAAAAAACCGTAACTTTTTGTGAACAAGTCAAACAGAAAAGCGTAGGAAAAAAAATGGACTACGTGACTTAAACATTTGTGTATATTTTATTGTGCCTTTGATTAGAACACAACAAAAAAAAAAAAAAATAAACAAAAATATCGAGAAAAAAACCCAGATATAAATTTAAATGTAGTTTTCAAGTTTTGCCGCCTGACCGAAAATTGTTAATTATAGAACCTAATTTGCTTGAAAACTTTTTTTTATCTTGATGATTGATCATTAACAAATAAAAACTGAAAAAGCCAAAAAAAAAAAAAATTGTGTCTTATGTAACAAACGAAAAAAATTGCAAAGCCGAGCTGCGGCATCAACCTTCAATTCTCGAAGGAGCAATTTCAAAGTTTCACAATTTATTTGTAGAAAACAATTAAACCAAAAAAAAAAAACTCAAAAGTGTTGGGGAGTTAGAGAGCGGGCGTGAGGGGGCAGGGCCTGTCCATAGTTGTACTTCACTTGTTTGGGTTTTGATCATGAAACTTTAATAAAACAAAACAAACAAACTGGTTGAGCAAGGCGGGAAGGGGCTGCACCCGATCCGAACCATGCCGTACGGGGTAGGGGCGGGGCATGTTAGAAGCTGCGGCCAGTCAGCCGTTAAAGGGTCATGGCCAAGGACAAGGAAATCCCAGTGAATGGCTCTGCCTACGAGCCGTGAGTCACAATCGACTCCGACTCCGACAGCGACTCCGTCTCCGTCTCCGGCTCCGGCTTCGTTTCTAGCTCCGCCTTCGGTCGCCAAAGCCAGTTGTTGTAGTTGTTTTGTTTTGTTACTTTTCAAACCTTGAGCAATTGTTGTTATTGCTGTTCTCTTCTACTATATATTTAATAACTTTAGAATGAGCTTAACAAATGCCGTGCACAATTATAAATTATAAATGTTATGCCTTAATTATGCAAACGCACAATAAACAATCTTTTGTTGTTGTACAAGCAGCATATAAAAAGTCGGAAGAAAAGTTTGCCAAAAATCCGTGTGTGTGTGTGTGTGTGTGTGTGTGGCAAAAAGAACTAGACCCCGAACTGCCTAGAGTATGATGAATGTGCAAATGTTAAATGTTAAATATGTGAAAATGTTTATGCAATTAATTGCACATAAATTGCAAAATATTTCGAATATTCCTAATATCTTGCGAATTACAGTTTGTAATTTTTCACATGCTCTAACTGAGAGCTGATTGCTTTTCTGACACATTATGTAACACGTGTGTAAGACGCAGCAGGAAGGTGGGAGATGACCTCAGACAGTATATATATATTCCTGATCAGCATCAATAGACGAGTCGATCTAGCCATGTCTGTCTGTTTGTTTATCAACGCAAGGATATCAGCATCTATAAGAGTTTGAGACTGAAAGTAGATCCTCCTAGTCGATAACTTGCCCACGCAATCGATATAAATCGTTCTCGATCTTCTGTTTTTGAGCAAATCTCTTAAGCTTTAACAGCTAGAGTCTACAAATTTGACATCCAGCTTCAAGAATACTATATGATATACGGAATATTATGGTATACGGAGGAGGGAACTTAACTGCTTTAATTAAGTTTTATTGGGGTATTTGTTGTTGATAGAAGAGGTTGCAGGATATGCCCTAGTCGGGCACTCCCGAGTTTAGCACTCTTACTTTATTTGTACACAATCTATATACAAATACTCAAATTTATTCTATCCATTTCATTGTATGTTCTTTGTGAACTCGGCTCTCCTTAAAGCTGTGCTGCTGAAATTTGAAACAGGTGCTTCTTCTTGCTTCAGAAGGTATATACACCAGATCTGACAAGATCTGTGCACTATATTATGTAAATGAATGATAAATAATGAAGATGTCATATGAAAAACTGAACTGATTTGGTCTAATATTCGTGCCTTCCATAAAAATAATTTTCCAAAAGCGTATTTAAACTTCGACTATGTCGTAAGCAAGTGTTCTTTTCTATATATTATTTCAGATGCTTGCTTTTGGCTATATAATTCTTGCCAATTTATTAATTAGTATTTCAATTGAATAACGTGCTAATTATCTCATTGCTAGTTAGCTATAATCATTGTTAATTAGCTTATGCAACTCGAATTCGAAATTGTTGTCAGTTATTTTGTTAACAAATATTTAACGAGTGCACCCTTTTGATAAATCTTTCTATGTATGCAGGTTGGTCAGCCCATTATTAAGAAAAAAAAAAAATTGGTATGCAATTAGCTCTTCCAATTCGCAGCTCAATTTGTCTGTCTGGATTTTAATAACTTCATATGAAGCCCCTTTATTTTTGTCGTGAGTAAGCGGCAGCTCATTAGCTCATATTTATCGATAGGTTAAATGTAATCTATAGCTTTGATCGGCATGCTGCAAGGATGACGGCATTTGCCACTGCAACAACAACAATAACAAAAAAAAAAAAAAAAAAAAAAAAACAGAGGCAACAACAAGTGCAACAATTCGCTCGACACCGAATGTAGATCAATGGCAAAGCGAGCGGCTAAATCTGAATTTGGTTAAATGCGAGTCTCAAACTTCAACTAAATGTCATTCAAATGATCTAAGACCAGCATCCAATTAGGCGCCAGCCTCGGCTACAACTACAACAGCAGCACTTCACCTGTATATACACACATTAAAAATATATCTATCTTTTTGTGTTTGTGCGTGTGTGTGTGTGTGTTATCAGCTTACAGGAATTAGCTAGTTAGTCGCGAATTGTCAGCTGCATGTGTTATGCAAATGCCTAAACAATTTGCCAGATGTTTTGACGCCATTTGTTTCTGCCCAGTTAAGATTAGTTTAATGTGTTACATTTACGCATGCAAATTAGCCTTAATGCGCTTTCATAATAACTATACGCTATTCAAATAGTTGCTTGACTAGCGCGCCGGCCACGGAGCTTACGGTTCGAACACCCAAGGGGATAAGAGCTATAAAACTTAATGAAAGTACAAAATGTAGTACTGCAAAGAAGTCTAACATAAGGCTATTTTTCTGCTAAAAGCAAAACTTCCTGCTGAGTCTAACAATTGTCCAGCTTGGACTTAAACAACGTTTGCCCTATGCCAGCTATTTTCCAAGAGTATCCCAAGCAGTGTATCTACAAGTCAATTGCATATACTTAAATGTAGGCTGCCCACCTTCTAATGGCGCGGCCAGTTCCTGCTCTGCTTTCCAATTAGTTCTTGTGCTTATTGAAAATAATATCCGCCTGTAAACATATCTATTACAAATAACATATTTATGTGTGCAAGCGTGTACATAGATTGGGGGTTGTCACACGCGGCGTATGCGCAATGTTGATTGTGCTAGCTGCCGCTGGCTGGGATTTTGTTGTTTATTATTTTTATGACTTGTTTAGGCTTTTTTAATGACGCGCTGAGACCGCGACAATTCCAAATATTTTATTATAGTTGTTTTTTTTTTTTTTCAGTTCGCAGTCGTTGCGCACGCGCTTGTGTCTAAACCCAAGCGACAACAACAACAACAACAACAACAACAGCTGCCGGAGCAATGCCAAGCGCCGTTCTAGCTGGCGCACTTGAACTTGGTCGAGTCAGCCCGCTGTCGACCCACTGCCAAGTTGTGTGCTTTGGTGAGAGGAAACCCCACAGCAGCAACAACAAGAGCAGCAGCAGCAGCAGCAGCAGCTGTGCTCAGCCCCCGGTGACTACGTCACAGCCGCGTCATGCGAAAACCTGTCGCTGTCGTCGTCGTCGTCGTCGTCGTTGTCGTCGTGGTTGTCGTTTGGGTCTCGGTCTCGGTCGTCGTTGGCGTCGCAGCTGGCGTTGCGACGCTTCGTCTGTGGGGTATTTAAGCGCTGGCAACTGAACCTGGGGCATGCATTGATTCGCTAACATTCGCTCTAAAGACTTGCCAGCCCTCTGTGTGGTCAAGTAGTTTGCTGCTCTGTTTGTTGTAATAAAATCTTAGCTAAACACAGAAAAACCCAACGCAAAAGGATTTCAATTCCCGCACTCGAAAAGTTTTCACAAAAGTTTCGAGAAAAACGCGTTGAGAAAAAACCCAAAAAACCAAACCCAAACGTGCTGTGTGAATTGAAGTAGTTCTTCGGTTTAGCTAAATTCTAGACGCAAACAGTTCGCAGTTCCAGGAGCGTTTCGCCAGGCAATTAAGCAGTGAAAGTGTACAAAATTTCGAGTGCTTATTGCAACATATAACTGAAAAAAAAAAAAAAACAAAAAACCAACTAGTATCCAAAGTGCAATACTTTGTATAAATTTTTGAAAGAAATTTTCTAATTTAAAACAAAAAAAAACACAAAACACATAAGCAAAATGATGGCCGTTGCAGCTGCTCAAAAGAATCGCGAAATGTTCGCCATTAAGAAATCCTACAGTATTGAGGTAAGTGTTAAAAAGATCATATGCATTAAGAGCTAGGCCAGAGACAGGGGGAGAGAGGTTTGAACCCATATTAAGCTGTGCTTGGTCTACGTGACTGTCCAAAGGTTTTCAATTTATCATGTTTCAAATTGAGTTTGTCATAAAAGCAGAGTCTTTGTATTCAATTCGACTGCGTTTGACCTACTGCTATCCTGTTTTTTTTTTTTTCAAAAAGAACAACAAAGACAACAAACATAGTTGGGACAGGTGACAAAGTTATTATTTAACAAATTTAAACAGTCTTGTCTGCATGTGTGAAGATCTCTGGCCCATAGAGGGAGAGTGAAAGTGGCTGCCCGCCACACATTTGCCCTGCACTTACACACAGTCGCTTCTCATTGTTGATCTCCAGACGCTGTTTATGTTGTCTCATGTTGTTGTTGTTGTTTATGTTGATGCTGTTGTGCCGTCGCAAAGGTATACAAAAAACAAAATATGAAATCAATAAAGATGATTCAATGGCTCGCATCTCTTTCATCAGCAAGAGAAACTGTGAAAACCCAAAATAAAAACAAAAACCAAAAAAAAAAAAATAAAAAAAAAACTGCAACTGCTTGAGGCTCCACATAAGTTATTGTACGTGGAGCTCTCTGTTGCAGCTCGGATAGAATAGCCGCCATTCATAAGCCTGTCAAACTCCAAATATACCGATCCGCTGCCATTGTCTGCCACTTTCACACAAACAAACTTATATATTATAACTCCCCTGAGTTTTCTTATGTAAGCGCCTTTTGCGCAATCCAACGCCCATCAAATTCATGGGCATGGCTGAGTTTGCTTATCGCACAGAAAATAGCTAATTTCCGGCGCATATCCTGTGGTAGAGATGTCATCCAACTTTCCTTTTTTGCATTTGCAGAATGGGTATCCATCCCGTCGCCGCAGCCTCGTGGATGATGCACGCTTCGAGAGCCTGGTGGTCAAGCAGAACAAACAAACCGTGCTCGAGGAGGCGCGCAGCAAGGCAAATGGTGAGTACGAAAAACAATATATATAACTATTTCAGATAGAACACGTTCAAGTTAGAAAAAGTTAGAGAAACTTGTTCAAATTTACAAATTATTGCTTTTTTACAATTTCCTTAAATTTATCTATATTGCATTCAAAACTAGTTGAAGTTAGACAAAACTTCTTTGAATTGACATTAGAAAATGTTTTTTGAGCTTTCAAATCATTTTTCTATAACTTTTTAAAAATTTTCCTATCAAAAGCTCTTCAAATTTCCAAAATATATTTCGCAAATTATAAATTTTGCAACTTTTTAATTTTTTTAATATTTTTTAAAGATTTTTCTTACTTAAACAGAGTCAGAAAAACTTCAATTTAAAGTGTTTGCCTATTTTTTAAGTCTTCAAATTGAAATTTTCAGTCAAATTATGTTTCGCACTTCCTTAAAGCTTCCTTTGTATAATCAAACTTAGTTTTCTTTTGATTTTCACTTCTTTTAAGTTAATTTTGCCTCATTTTAATTTATTTTCGTTGCATTTTCTTTTATGTTTTAAAGACGCCTCGCTTGAGGAGTGCATTCAGCAGGCAAAGGGCGAGCATGTGCCTGCCGAGCAAAATGTCGAGCTGCAGGACGCGCAGCCCAGCCTGGAGCTGCCCGCGGAAGATGAATATGCTCCAGGTGCTTATCCAGTCCATATATGATTTTATTATTATTATTATTATTATTGCACGCAATTTTTATTTCATTTATATAATTTGTATTATTATTTCCTTTTGTTGCGTTGTAGTTGAGAGTTTTGAAACTGAGGCAACAATTGAAAGCCGCGCTGAGCAGCCGCCAGCCGATGATGAAGTGCCCACAAAGAACGGTAAGTGGGCGTGGCACACAACTATATATATATATATAAGTACAGTAAAGCTGGTTGACATGAACTTAAGTGCTTAATATGATAAAGTGCCAGCACTCAGCGAATATGCGTGAGAATTGGATGCTGATTGTAAATGTGCCTATGTGTGTGTGTGTGGTGTGTGGGTGTTGCCTTTTAGGCGCGCGCACACACTCACACACACACACACACACACTCTCACATACAGCTGCCGGATTCAACAGGGTAAATGGCGCATTTCCCTTTTTCATTTTTTACGCTCGACTTAAGCGTCATGGCAACCAGGACCAAGGGCCAGGACGGGTGGTTGGGATGGGGGTGGTGCCACACGTAGCTCAGTTATACGCTTACGTGACTGTAAAGCCGCTTGCCTTGCTGATTGCCATTTTCCTTGCAATTGCAGATTATGGCCTCACCGAGGACGAGATTGTCCTGGCTAATGCCGCATCGGAGTCAACCGAGGCGGAGGCAGCCGTCCAGGGTGCCGCATTGGTGGTGCGCCTTAAGGAGGGCATCTCCTCGCTGGGCCGCATACTCAAGGCCATCGAGACGTTCCACGGCACCGTGCAGCATGTGGAGTCGCGCCAATCGCGCGTCGAGGGCGTCGATCATGATGTGCTCATCAAGCTGGAGATGACGCGCGGCAATCTGCTGCAGCTGATCCGTTCGCTGCGCCAATCGGGCTCGTTTAGCAGCATGAATCTGCTGGCCGAGAACAATATTAGCGTGAAGGCGCCTTGGTTCCCCAAGCACGCCTCCGAGCTGGACAATTGCAATCATCTGATGACCAAATATGAGCCCGATCTGGACATGAATCATCCCGGTTTCGCCGACAAGGTCTACCGTCAGCGCCGCAAGGAGATTGCCGAAATCGCGTTCGCCTTCAAATATGGCGATCCAATTCCCCACATCAACTACACCGAGGTGGAGGTCAAGACCTGGCGTTCAGTGTTCCGCACTGTGCAGGATCTGGCACCGAAACACGCTTGCGCCGAATATCGTGCCGCCTTCCAGATGCTACAGGATGAGCAAATCTTTGTCGAGCATCGTCTGCCCCAGCTGCAGGAGATGTCCGATTTTCTGCGCAAAAACACGGGTTTCTCGCTGCGCCCAGCCGCCGGCCTGTTGACCGCACGCGACTTCCTCGCCTCGCTGGCCTTCCGCATCTTCCAGAGCACACAGTATGTGCGTCACGTCAACTCGCCCTACCACACGCCCGAGCCGTAAGTATATACTATATACTATATATATCTGTGTAGAGCACATTTCAACTTCAAAGGCAGAGCTTTTTGTGCGTCCTCTAATTGCATTTGCCTGCCATTTTGGTGCGGCTCCAACAGCTTCCGCTTCCGTTGGCAGCTTCTCTCTCTCTCTCTCTCTCTCTCTCTCTGTGCTTCCGCCTGCCAGTGGCAACTTTTATTGTGCGCCAAATTAGTTTAACAAAGCAGCAGCACTTTCAGACACGCCCACAGCCCAGCTATTATTTAACGCCTAATTGTTTTGCCTCTTTTTCTTTCTCTCCTTGCAGCGATACCATCCACGAGCTGTTGGGTCATATGCCTTTGTTGGCCGATCCAAGCTTCGCCCAGTTCTCCCAGGAGATTGGACTGGCCTCGCTGGGCGCCTCCGATGAAGAAATCGAAAAGCTCTCCACGGTAAGCAGCCCGACCCCCGACCCCCGACCCACCACAACTTAACTCAATTGCTATGCTCATTTGGTTGGCACTTAATGGCTTCCGTTGACCTCCACGGGAGCCAAGTGCAGCATGAGTTAGCCGTTTTTTGTGCCGGCCCAGACAGGTGTCTAATCACGAAACGTTTTGTTTGCGTCTCTTTTGCGCAGGTCTACTGGTTCACTGTTGAGTTCGGTCTCTGCAAGGAACACGGTCAGGTCAAGGCCTACGGAGCTGGTCTGCTGAGCGCCTATGGCGAGCTGTTGCATGCCATTAGCGACAAGTGCGAGCATCGCGCCTTTGAGCCGGCTGCCACCGCGGTGCAGCCGTATCAGGATCAGGAATATCAGCCCATCTACTATGTGGCCGAGAGTTTTGAGGATGCCAAGGATAAGTTCCGTCGCTGGGTGAGCACCATGTCGCGCCCGTTCGAGGTGCGTTTCAATCCACATACCGAGCGTGTCGAGATCTTGGATTCGGTGGACAAGCTGGACACATTGGTGCATCAAATGAATACAGAGATTCTGCACTTGACCAATGCCATTCAAAAGCTGCGGCGTCCATTCTAGAGTAAACGCAACGTAAATACTCTGCCCATTACACACCATCACCTACCCCTACCACCCTACCACCCTACCACCACCCTACCCTAAGCATACGGTCTCATTTTATACAAATTAATTTTAAATTGACATACCACACACACACACATACCCTGGAATTTAATGTTTTTTCTTATGCAAATTGAAGGCACCGCAACTTTGAAACTATTTTTTTTTTGAAAAATTGTTTTCTTTTTGTTTCGCTTTGGCTACATTTATCCTCTTTTTTTGTTTTTGTTTTATCACAACGCCCGCCCACCCCCTGACTTTCACTTTGTGCATTGCATATTTATTAACCCCAACTAAATATTATTGGACCAAAAAATCGTTAGACTTGTAAGTGATTGTGAGAAACCAAGAAACCATTCCGAACACAGTTTAGTAAAAAAAAAAGCACAATACAACCGCTGCTATACTCAGCCCACATATTGTTTTTTTTTTTTGTTTGTTTTTGTATTATTTTGTTCGTATAATTATTTACTTAAAAAATGCAAATATGTGAACGCGTTTAATAATATCTACTTGGCCCCCTCTCTCTCTATCAATATATAAATATATATGTATTCTTGTAGAGCGTTTTCTTGGCAATATCAATAGTAAAACAAAAAAAAAGCAAAGATCAAAATGACACAAAAAAAGAAGAAAAAACGAGAAAGTACTAGACAAAATGTTAGATGAGGAAATATATAGCTGAAGATTTTTCTTACATTGTACAATAACTGGAAACGACAATATTACAATTGTGTACTATTATTATTATCTATTATTATTATTTGTATGACTATTATGTATTGTATTGTAGGTATGTAGAGTTTATTATTTTACTTATCAATAAGTTTTGTGTATTAATAAAGCTTAAACATATAATTGAAAAATAACTTCAACTGCTTGTTGTTTTTTTATTATTTCAAGTTTTCTTTTTTGTTTTTTTTTTTGCAGCTTTTAATTTTCAGTTAACTTTTTATGATCTAAAGTCTGATTCTGATTAGGGAACATTTGTGAGATGATATCATTATTATTTTGAAATTTGAAGAGATTGCGATTAACGTGAACGATTTAGGGAAAACAAATGAATTTAAGAATTTTAACAAATATGTATACATATACAACAAATATTAAAAATTACAAAAAAAAAAAGAAAAGAGTTTAAGCTTGTTGCGACCTTAAATAATAATTGTTAAAGCAAACGCAAGGCAGCAATAAATGTGCAAATTATTAAAATCAAAAGCAACAATAATTATATTCAAATAAATATTTATGCTTCTAACTGAACTAGAATTTTGGGAACAAATAATTCAATACGCAGCTTATTCAATACATATACTTATATTAGACAATTACCAGAGCATCAATTTAATAGCTTATTCTTGTTGCATTCTATTGACAAATATTAAGAACAAGTGTTAACGTTCAATTACGTATCAATGTTGAATTTAAATATTATAGCCAACTATATATTTAAAGTTTGGCAGTTACTATTTAAACAAATAAATATATATAAAATTATCAATATATATATATATGTATATTCAGAGGCAGCGGGTTGGTCCCCATGCTTGTCTAGCAGGCTGCAAATATAATTATATTCAGATAAATAAAATAACCAAAGAAAGTTCCATTAATACTTATATACTATTTATCCATATACTACAAATGCTATATATATATATATTATACAATTACAAGCTATGCTATAATAAAGCTGACTTTATTCCAAAAACTACAAAAAACTGAGTACTTAAAATTAAATTCAATTATTTTTGATTTTTAATGAAAGTAACTGTGAAATTATATTCCTAATATGGGCTTCTACTTGAAGATAAGATCAACATAACTTTTAGAAGGATATTTGATTCGTTTTTTAGGACTTGCACATACTTAGCATATATACAAGATCTCAATAGCATAGATCTAAGGATATAGTCTCAGATTTACATGAAAGTTAGAAGAAGAACAAAAGAATTTAGGCAACGAGAATCCGGATTCGGATCCGGATTCGAATCTCAAGCTCTCGTGTAGAATGTAGTGCATATTATTTGAAGGCCTTAGTATGCCAGGGCTATTAAAAAGTTAGTTTAATAGTTTATAACTATACTTAACTAATATGCAGCGCACAATAGCCAAAGAATCTTTAAAAGTGTCTCAAGAAATAAATCACATTCTATTTAAACGTTTTTTTTTTTTTTGCTCTGTATCAATAGGCAATCATAAAGATATATATTGTTGAACTTCTTTGAAAATGCCAGCTGATTGTTAACATGACCTACCTCAGCGTGTGTCACAGATTTATCGCATTGGCAATTACAACAGAAACTCAAGCGTTATGATAATTGATCTGAGTTGAATAGAAATTGAATGTGTTAATTGCTGGCAGCCGCAGAACACAAGCTGATCGGATGTGGGCGATAAAACCAATAAAACCGGGTCCGGGTCTTACTATAGAAACGTGCCAGCTGCCGTTCTAATACTTAAAATAGAATCCAGCATAATAGCGAGCACAACAAAGCACAACATTTACAGCTAAGGGAGACGCATAAGATACCCTGGCATGAAGTTTTAAATTGGAATTGGACTAATGAAAGGTTAAATATGCATATGTATGTAGTCTAAGGAAAGAGGGCTTGCCTTCTACTAACTGCTGCAAAAGACATTCTCAACCTTGTCTTACGCCTTTTCTTGAACTTTTCCCAAGGTTACAGGGTATATACATATTTTATAATATACAAACAAGTATTTTTATTATTTTTTAAATGTTCAGCCAAAATGTAGTAAATAATTATGAATTAAATAAATGCGCTTAGTTTAAAATTTGTATATTCAAACAAATTTTGTAAACTATTCATTTGATTGTGAATGTAAATAAATTCTTCAGGCTATTTTATATTTTATATAATATTGTTTTACTTTTTAATATTTTAAGTTTTAATTAAGTAAATTCTGAGCGCGCGGGTTCAATAATATTTGATCAAATTATTTTGATATTCTTTTTAGGTATTTCCAAGATTTGATTAAATAAGCTTTCAGGGAATTGCAGGGTATATACATAATTTAATATAAATGATTATTCTTTTTTATATTTTAAGTTGAAATATAAATATTTTAAAATATTTCTTAATATTTTTAAGAATATATATAAATTCTCTAGGTTACAGGGTATAAGCCCAACTATTGCCAGACTCCATTTTGATCTACAGGGTATACATATATTTCATTATAATTAATGAAATTATATATATTTTAAAATAAAAAAAAATTTAATATTAATTGAAACGAGTTCTCAAGGTAACAGGGTATATGAAAAATGAAATCAATTTTGTAAAAATTCTCAAGATTTAATTTTGATAAATATAACAATGTTTGTCGAATTGCAGACGTGGGAATTATGACTGAAACGACAAGTAATAAGCTCTTAAAGCGTGCATTTAGTAGCCAATTTTAATTACGGGCTTTTAATTCTATACAAAAAAAAATTACAACTAAGGTTAGACATTTATCAGGCATTTAATGTTTAAGCTCAGACGAAGTTCTATTTGCATTTTATGGTCATAAAAGGTATATATGTATATATATATATATATGTATAGGAATTGAGGTGGAAAATGGTATACGTGCCGATGGTCAGTTGCGTCTTTTTAGAACTTGGCTCTTTGGTCAAAGTCAGTGAATATTTGGGTTAGGGTTGCAGGAAACGCTCTGGGACAGCGGAGTTTGTTGAACCGCTGAGCGAATTGCCTATGTGTAATTGCCGGAAGTCGAATGCACTTTGCAATTAAAAAGCACAAACATACACAGACACGAATTTGTATTAATTGTTTAGCTTCAACTTCAACTTAACACACTGAAAGCTGTAAAAGACGTTGGAACGTCACGTTTCGTTTGGCCGTGCAAATCCATTTCGAATTTTAAATTCAAATTTCAAATTTCAAATTTGGCTAATTAAAGGCGCATAAAGTGCCAAGGTTGGGCCGGGCCGGGCCCGACTTAGCTTTGACAGTAGTCAACAGCAACAGTATTAAGTAGAACATTTTGGTTTGGCATTTTGGTATTTGGCTAATTGAATATCAAAGTCAATGACTTACACATTGCGCTTAGCCAATTCGTTTGGCATTGTGGCCGCCATTTCGGGCCAATTATTCGCGAGGTTTTTCGGTTTTTTTTCGGTTCTCTCTTAAGTCATTTAATCTTGGACTTGTCTTGAACTTTTCAAAAATATACTTACTGCCAGCTGTTAAATATATATATATATACCATATTTATATATAAATCGGGGCGTTACGGCCAAACCGTTAGGCGGCCATTTGTAGACTGCGCAGCCGCCATCGCCGTCGCCGTTGCGTCGCCAACGAGGCGCACCTGTTGCAAATTCTAATTTAAATGATCAGCAAATATAATTGCCAATTGGCTTCTGAGTCTAATTAGAACACAAACTGGTTACACTGGGCCAGGTCTGTGTTGGGGTTTCACTGTGTGGAGGCTGGGCAGCTTGCCATATATCAATTTAAATGCTTGACCACCAAAATCTTACGGGGAAGCATCAAAAGAATTAACAACTGCCTTTCTAAGATTAAGTACTCTATACAATTTGAATACCGTAGATTACCTGTCATAGGTGAAACGATTGAGAGGGTGTGCTGAGGGTGTTTAGATAAGGTATAAGACAGAGAAGAGGGCATATTTGTTTCGATGAGAGAATGATATGCCAGTAAAGCTTTCCTGTTGGCATTATCGATCCATACTGAAATGTTATCGATAGAGAGTATGACAATTAAGTTTCCCATCTCTAAAGATTTATCTCTACAGTCAAAGAAGAGGGTATATGTGTTTCGAGGAGACCATGATATGCCAGTTAAACTTTCCAGTCGGCATTATCGATACTGTCTAAATAGATATCGATTGTCATAAGACAAAGAAGAGGGTATATTCGTTTCGATAAAGAGCATGATATGCCAGCTAAGCTTCCCATCTATACAGAAAAAGAAGAAGGTAATTTCGCTTCCCATCTCTAACGATCATCTCTACAGTTGTCATTTTCGATATTTATTAAAAGGTTATTGGTAATACTCAAACTGTATGTAACAGATTTCTTTGATTGACTGAATGATGCTCAGTGCCCGATTTGTAATAGCTAGAAATCTGAAGTTTTCATTATTGTTCACTTTCAGGACGTGAATATATGTGAATCTTATGTCGGGGTTCCGGAATGTACGCTCGAGAATTTATAGAAAAGAATCTAGAACTTTTTTAGCAGATTGTTTCTTACAACTTATTTTCAAAGAAAAGTGCAAAGATTCACACTTTTCTGAAATTCAATCCTTCCCTCTGTGAGAAACAAGTGCTAAGGTTGTCCATGTTCAATTTGCAGCACTTTGGACAGGGTATCTTTGCGTTGAGTGTGCCCAACTGTGCCCAAATGCCTTAGCAGGTCTTGAATTATTGTTGATTTTAATTTCTTTAAGATAATGCAGCATTTAAGTAAAAATCTAGCCAATGCCTTCAGAGTTAGCTCCTTCAGCTGACCTTCAGGTGCTTTCGAGGTACTGCTTGCATGCAAAGTGAGTTTCCAGAACATTATTATGCCGATTGGTCCATAATTAAAAGTTATTACAGCACACCGATTGGCCATACAATCGTCCAGTTAATTGCATAAAAGCAATGAGAGCCAGGTGCTCCCGGGCCGGCTAATCAGTTCAACAGCTTGAACCATAAGCGACACCTGGCCCAGACTCTGACTTGGACTTAAATAGAAGGGCTGCTGTTGTCTGTTGGCATAACTGAGCTGGGCTGAGCTGAGCAGCACAACGACCACTTTCAATCATAAATTAACATTAGAATTTTAAATGTGCGACTAATTAAAAATAGTTGGGCGAAAAAAAACCTGTGAGATTTCATGCCCCAAGCTGTTGCCGCTGCACTCGCTCGAACAATTACAAGAAAATTGTGGATTTAATTTCCATTTGATAGTCGTCGGTTGCCAAGCGCTATTCAATTCAGCCCGACCCACAGTCCAGGCCCAACCAACAGGTGGCCCACAAAGTCTGCCAGCCAGCTGGCCGGCTGACGGGTCGTATGAGTATTGCGATATGGAGCCGAGAGCGGAGCTGTGGGTGGGCCGGGTTTACCCATGATTATTGAATTTGCAGCTCTTTAGCGCACTTTCATTGTCTATTTTAAGCATGTCAATATTTTGGTTTTAGTTAAACAAACATCACAATTGGATACAATCACAGCCAAAGTCTGGAGGAAGAGCTGATGAAATGTCCACACAATAATTAAGCTGTGAGCTGAGAGCTGAGAGCTGAACTGTTCCGGATGTTGTCAGAAAGTTTAAGTTAAGTTTGAATTCAAGTTAAGTATATAGAACGGACTTACACGCTTCAATGGGGCTGTTGACTTTGGTTAATTAAAAGTCGAGCGCACGTGTGCAAATGTCTCGCTAAAGGGGCGACATCACAGTCCAGAGGTTGACAAAGGTCGCGTCGTTACAAATCAATCTTATAACTAAGCTTATTTATTTATAAATATCAGCTGAAATAATTGACACTATAGTAGAAAAGTATATTTTCGTCAGTCTGTAGACAGAGAGAGCCAAAATGCTTTAACCTAGCCCGGTTCGCGAAACAAGTTAATATATAGTAAATAAATTTGTTTAAAATTAAAATAATATTTGATATTCTGAAATGTTGCTAAACAACCAACCAGTCACATAATTACAGAGCCCCTTTTGGTGGACAAAGACGCGACGCCTCTGCTCACACTTTTAATTCATGTGCAAAATAGTGTTGCATACTTTGAGGTAGTGTATAGATAATATAAGAGTATAAAGATTCAATATAGATAAATATAGGCAGATATATACTGAAATGTGTGGCAGGATGTCAAATTTTGTAAAATTCAAATGTAATCTTAGTTTTGTGACTCACTGTGAATAAAGCGCCAGTTCGAATAAAGGTTTCAGAGACGCAACATTTAGTCCGTCGGACATCTATTGTTCACAGCTTGGAAAAAGCTTTTAAAAGTTCTGTCATAAGTTTTTTGCTATGAAACACTGTGTGCGCGCCTGTAAATAGAATAAAACAAGCGTAATGTAAATTAGTGAATTTATTCGTAAAATATTTTGAAGGCATAAAATTCTTATTTTCTTTTTATTATTCTAATTATAGACTGCTTAAAGCTATGAGCTTGATAAACATTTAAAAAATGTTGAAAAGCTTCTAAAAGCCCACCAAGAGCTGCTTGTTATACAATACAGAACAAAGTAAAAACAGTGACAGCTAAAAGTATGCAGCTGAGTATAACATTATTCACTCGAGCTTTAGTTAGAATCAAAAAATTGAAAAAGTTTTGTTGGTGTAAAAATGGGTTCGAGTACCCGAGAAGACAGAAAAAGCGTGTTCTTTTTTTCTAAGAAAATTCGATTTTCGAATACCCTCATAGAAAGTACATCAATTTTAACAGCAACTTCAGAAAGTAAAAGTTATTAAGCCATATTTCTACAAGGAGATTTCAATTTCGGCAAACATAGAATGAATTTCCTATTTCTATATAAATAAAATACTCAGATTCAAGCTGAAAATGAAAGAAACAAAGACATTTAACTTTTAATAAAAATGAGTATATTTGATTTAAACAAATGTTGATATCAGTCTTTTGGCAAATTGCTATCGCTCTTTCCTCTGCTGTAGGGCCTGGTGCCGCCGAGCATGCGCTCCAGTAGGCTCTGCTTGGACTTGCGCTTGCAGGCGAGCACCTCCTTGCACAGGTCATTGAACACCTCGGCGACCTGGTCGACATGATCCGCGGCGGAGACCTCACTGAACTTGCACTCAAAGTCTTTGGCCAGTATTTCGCCTTCGTCGCGGCTGACCTGACGCAAATGCACCATGTCCACCTTGTTGGCGCACAGCTGAACGGGCGTATCCGATTGCAGATCGGATTTGGCACGGCGTATATAGTTGAAACTCTTGCGATCGGTTATGGAATAGACGAGCAGCAGGCCATCGGCCCACTGTATCAGTTCGGCAGCATTGGGATATTCATCTTCGGCCTGAGTTGTTTATAGTTTAATATTTATTTTTTTTTGTTGTTGCTTTTTTGTGTGTTCGGGTTAGGGTAAAGAGTGTTAACCGTATATAGCTACCTTGGGACATGTGTCGAGTATTTCGAAGAGCACCGGCTCACCATCCACCATGGACTCGTGCTTGTAGCGATTCTCAGTCTGATGATCGTATTCGCCTATATAACGCTTTGTTAGAAAACGCACAATTAAGGCTGCAATAAAATTAAATAACAGAATTTAATTTGGCGCCGGCTATTACAGCGATCAGGTGTAAACCGAGGTAACGCCCCTTGGAAAACAAACCCCTGCAAAATAGAGACAGAGAGAAAAAAATACTACTGGGTCAGCACTTAAGCGAGCGTGAACGGCGGAAAACTCATACGACAGTTGAAAATTCAAATGCGGCCAGGGAAAAGCCGCTTTCGAGCAGGTGGGCAAAAGGAAAAACTGTATGCAAACCTTGAGGGGTTAATAAACCCAACTAACAACAGGGGCACATTTGAGCCTTAGCGTTGCGTGTTGCAAGCAAACAAAACAACGCGAGGGAATGGCCTAAGAGTGAGGGGGGGGGGGGGGGGGGGGGCATGCTGAAAGGGTGTGTATTTGTCTCGGCTGAGCCTTTGGTCATTTGCAATGCAAGTGCTTTGAACTCTGACCAAGTCTCGCAGTCGCTGCTTGCCAAAAGGATATAAACTATATGTGCACACAGGTAATGCCCGTTAGTTTGTCTTGGCACGTAAGCCTCTGGGCCCTCCTCCAGCCCCTTCCCCACTGACCGCTTTTAATGATTTATTTATTTTCATAGCAACCGCACATTTTGCTGGCATTTTAATTTATGCTTTTCGGCAAACGTTTTGTTGCTGCTTTTTATTTATTTTTTATATGTTGTTTTACGAGGTCAACGTTTAAATTTTTGTTTAAATTACGACAAAGATCTGGCCACACTGTCTCATCTGGCCGTTGGGCATTAATCGAATTGGATCGGACCATGTCCACGGCCCCTCGCCGGGTGGGCGTCGCTTTAATTGCCACACACATACACACACACACACACTCGCACACACGCATGCCCCTGGCGCTTCAGTGCATTAAATATTTGTGCTATATCTGCGGTTGAATGATATACCTATAGATATATAAATATATATAGCTACAAACAGCATATATCACAGATACGATCATGTCTGCTTAAAACGTTTGCTGGCGCCTAAAAAAATTCCATATACTAAGTACTTGTTCCCATTTTCTTATTTTTTTCCACACACTCATATTCAAAACAATTTTTTTCCAAGTAAAAGTAAATAATTAAGCTTACAGTGGGTGAGGCTGTAAAACAATATATATATAACTAAGTTTATGTAGTTTAGATAGCATTGCTCTTGATATTCGCTAGATTAGATTGACACAGAAAAAATTGCAAATTAAGGCTAGTATGCAGCTCACAGTTGACAGCTGGCAAAAGAAGCTCAAGAATTTTATTCTCATTGAAATTTTGTTAGCCTATTCTTAACTCGATTATTTTATTTATTTTTATTATTATTTTTCTTTTAATAATTCCCCTTTCAGGCCTAGTATGCAGCACACAATAACTGTATGACCAGCGAACTGATCGATCCAAATATCATTAACACCTATTTGTTGTCCTATATCAAGGCAGCACACATTTGAGAACTGTAAAACAGATCAACAATTTTATTGATCATTGAACTTTTTATGCATATCTTAAGTATGTTAAGTTAGTCCCTTTTCAGGCCTTGTATGCAGCACACAATCATAACTAATATCCTTCAACATATTAAATGTTATTTTATTATAATTTTTAAAGTTCCTTCCTTTTGTAGGCACGTATGCATCACTCGTTTTAAAGCTGATATACCTAAGATCAGACATGGCTATTCTGAGTGCGAGAGTTAGATGAAGACTGTATATATATATATATTGGAAAGGCGTATGATCATGGAGAGGTTTATGATGCACAGTTAAAAGAAGAGTCTTGATAATATATATAAGATAGTTAAGAGTATGATTGTATAATAGATTTTAAAATAACTATTTCAGCTTTATATTTCAATTTTCGAGTAGTTTCTTTTATTCCCTTGTTGAGATACTATAATTTAGAGATCTCCGACCCTATGAGGCATAAAAGGGTATTTAATATTCGGCTTCTTCTTGTTATCTTTCCATTTTTACATTTATCTAGTATGCAGTTTATATATTTTGTATGGCATAATTAGCTTAGATTGGACTTGGACAAATATTCAGTTCTTCCAGAGCGATTCGAACTTCCCATTTCGAAGTTTTTGTTCGTCTGTATTTTGGTCTACCTAGAATTCCCTAAGCTTATAGAAGGCGACAATCTACGGGTACAGCTGTCAGTGCGTATCAATGCCAGACGTCAAGTGCTTTGCGCCAAATGAATATTTATTAGTAGAGCATATATTCTAGTCATATTTCTTGGGTCTAACACGGGCCGGCTTATGCTTTCGGGCCATAAAATAGCTGGGCGTTACCTGAAGTTGACAGATGCCGCGCCAAGCGGAAGTCATTCGGGGGGCCTACAAACTGATACAAATTCAAAGTTTACGGGGGCGAGGGTCGCGGTCGCTGTACGTGAGATGATGGCTGACAGAACACATCAATTTGCAGTTAAGTCGCAATGCAACCAAGCTTCTGTGATCCCACCCAAAGTGTATGTGTGTGCGCTTGTGTGTGTGTGTGTGTGACACAGTGACCGTCATAAATTGTTGGCTGTGGGGTGCACGCGTGTCAAATCGAACGGTGAAAACGATTACAGGAAAATGCGAGCTACTCAAAGGCACAGATACAGATACAGATACAGCAACAACAAAAGATACAGATACAGATACAGTTGCAGATACAGATACAGATATGTAAGTATATATATATACTGTGCGGCATGCTCAGAGATACATGTGTGCATGTGTATATGTATGCTGCCACTTTATAAACAAAACAAACAACGGATCTAAATATATACGAACTCGGCGATTGCTCAACTAATTTGCTGTTGCTCGCTTTTCCTAAGAGTTTTTTTTTTCCTGTTATTATTATTTGTCTTTTTTCTATTGTATTCTGGAGAAAAGTCTCGTCTTACCGCTCTTTCCAACACTGGGCGCGCCAATAACTGCGATTTTCAACTCTGTCAACGTTGACTTTTTACGCCGTATGCCGCGCGTCGTCATCTCGCAATATGAAAATAGCCCAGTTTACCGTATTCGCTGTGTATATATATATCGGGATTCTGTCTATATACTTTTGGTCGAATATAGCCTATATATCCGTTTGCCGTTATTGTCTGTTTCACGTTGAAATTGTGAGTATCAAAACAAAATTGAACACGCTTAAAATTTGACTAAAATTACAGCTACAAAAGTCTAGAGTTTGCCCAGCCAGAAAATGTTTTATTAATTTTTAATTAGATAGTGTTTTTTTTACGGCTTATATCTTTTATATATATTATGTTTTTTTTTTTAGGATATGAAATGCACGTTGCACCGTTCCGTGTGTTTATATACAAATAGAAAATTCTTTGATTTATTTATTTATTCAGTGCAGTTCAGTTTTGGCAATTCCGTAATTTTCAGCTGATCTGCTGAAAGTGTCTTTTGGTTTTTGCTTTTTCTTTTGTTTTTCTGTTTTTCTGTTTTTTTTTTGGTTTTTTTTTGTTTTGTGGCCTTAAACCGCTCGCAAAGTCATGCGATTTGTACGACTAACGAATTTGTACTAAAATCCAATCTGTGCTACGCCGGAACCGAACAGCACGGATTCCCCCGAACAGATCGGAACAGATCTCGCACACGCACACGCTCCCAGAGCGCTTTTCGCGAACGAGCGTTGCGAGCGTTGCGTCCATCCAAAAATAGCTGGCAAATAGAGAAAGCTTCGACATGGCGCACACAGCAGATCAGCGATCCATTGTCCAAAACTCGACCAGATGCCACAGCAAAAGGGTTAAAGTTTGCTCAAAGGCCGCCCCTTCAATACCGCTGATTGATTCATTTGATGGGCGGCTGCACATTAGATGGGAGAAATTGGCTCATTTCGAGATCATCTTCTTTAGAGAGCATCATCTGATTGTGGCTGAGGGCCAGTAAAAGTCATCCTAAATTGAATTTAATTTGTGCATTTCCATCTGGCAAAGCAGCTGTTAGCTGGGCGCAACTGTTTCTGGCCAAAGAAATCAACAGCCAGACCTTGAAATAGTCTTTTTCAGAAAGAGCACAACTATTCTTCAGATACGACTCTTTTCTGGCCAGGCTGTGTCTAAATAAATATTTAGCTAAACTTGCGTTTTTATTGCTTAAGATAACTTTCTTCTACCTTAGTCGGATATACTAGCGCTCATATAAGGTAGGTGTATATGGCACCACAAATATCCACTTTAAATAATGATTTTCCCAAACATGGTATACTGCGGGTATAGGCCGGCCTTGTCCGTGGGAGCGGGATTTTTTGACCTATAGGATACCATTTTCACATAAACTTCGACCAAAAATAGTGTTGCCAGATTTAGATGCCAAATTGAGATAGAGGCAAAACCATGAGCAAAAAGCCAAACTTTATGAAAATCGGATGAGATTTGACCGAGTTATGGCTGTGGGAAATTTCGACCTATGTATAAATAGGATATTTAGGGTACCATTTTCACATGAATTTCGACCAAAAATAGTGTTGCCAGATTTTGATGCCAAATTGATCTAGGGACAAAACCATGAACAAAAAGCCAAACTTTATGAAAATCGGATAAGATTTGACCAAGTTATGGGTGTGGGAAATTTCGACCTATGTATAAATAGGATATTTAGGGTACCATTTTCACATGAATTTCGACCAAAAATAGTGTTGCCAGATTTTGATGCCAAATTGATCTAGGGGCCAAACCATGAACAAAAAGCCAAACTTTATGAAAATCGGATGAGATTTGACCGAGTTATGGGAGTGGGACATTTTGACCTATGTCTACATAGGATATTTGAGGGTATCATTTCGACATGAATTTTGACCAAAAATGATGTTGTCAGATTTAGATGCCAAATTGATCTAGGGGCCAAACAATGAACAAGAGTCCAAAGTTTATGAAAATCGGATGAGATTTGACCGAGTTATGGGAGTGGGAAGTTTTGACCAATGTCTATATAGGATTTTAGAAGGTAAAATTTGACATGAATTTCGACCAAAAATAGTGTTGCCAGATTTTGATGCCAAATTGATCTAGGGACAAAACCATGAACAAAAAGCCAAACTTTATGAAAATCGGATAAGATTTGACCAAGTTATGGGTGTGGGAAATTTCGACCTATGTATAAATAGGATATTTAGGGTACCATTTTCACATGAATTTCGACCAAAAATAGTGTTGCCAGATTTTGATGCCAAATTGATCTAGGGACAAAACCATGAACAAAAAGCCAAACTTTATGAAAATCGGATAAGATTTGACCAAGTTATGGGTGTGGGAAATTTCGACCTATGTATAAATAGGATATTTAGGGTACCATTTTCACATGAATTTCGACCAAAACCAGATTTTGATGCCAAATTGATCTAGGGGCCAAACCATGAACAAAAAGCCAAACTTTATGAAAATCGGATAAGATTTGACCGAGTTATGGGAGTGGGACATTTTGACCTATGTCTACATAGGATATTTGAGGGTATCATTTCGACATGAATTTTGACCAAAAATGATGTTGTCAGATTTAGATGCCAAATTGATCTAGGGGCCAAACAATGAACAAGAGTCCAAAGTTTATGAAAATCGGATGAGATTTGACCGAGTTATGGGAGTGGAAAGTTTTGACCAATGTCTATATAGGATTTTAGAAGGTAAAATTTGACATGAATTTCGACCAAAAATAGCGTTGCCAGATTTTGATGCCAAATTGATCTAGGGGCCAAACCATGAACAAAAAGCCAAACTTTATGAAAATCGGATAAGATTTGACCGAGTTATGGGAGTGGGAAGTTTTGACCAATGTCTATATAGGATTTTAGAAGGTAAAATTTGACATGAATTTCGACCAAAAATAGCGTTGCCAGATTTTGATGCCAAATTGATCTAGGGGCCAAACCATGAACAAAAGTCCAAAGATTATGAAAATCGGATGAGATTTGACCAAGTTATGGGAGTGGGAAGTTTTGACCAATGTCTATATAGGATTTTAGAAGGTAAAATTTGACATGAATTTCGACCAAAAATAGTGTTGCCAGATTTTGATGCCAAATTGATCTAGGGACAAAACCATGAACAAAAAGCCAAACTTTATGAAAATCGGATAAGATTTGACCAAGTTATGGGTGTGGGAAATTTCGACCTATGTATAAATAGGATATTTAGGGTACCATTTTCAGATGAATTTCGACCAAAAATAGTGTTGCCAGATTTTGATGCCAAATTGATCTAGGGACAAAACCATGAACAAAAAGCCAAACTTTATGAAAATCGGATAAGATTTGACCAAGTTATGGGTGTGGGAAATTTCGACCTATGTATAAATAGGATATTTAGGGTACCATTTTCACATGAATTTCGACCAAAAATAGTGTTGCCAGATTTTGATGCCAAATTGATCTAGGGGCCAAACCATGAACAAAAAGCCAAACTTTATGAAAATCGGATAAGATTTGACCGAGTTATGGGAGTGGGAAGTTTTGACCAATGTCTATATAGGATTTTAGAAGGTAAAATTTGACATGAATTTCGACCAAAAATAGCATTGCCAGATTTTGATGCCAAATTGATCTAGGGGCCAAACCATGAACAAAAGTCCAAAGATTATGAAAATCGGATGAGATTTGACCGAGTTATGGGAGTGGGACATTTTGACCTATGTCTACATAGGATATTTGAGGGTATCATTTCGACATGAATTTTGACCAAAAATGATGTTGTCAGATTTAGATGCCAAATTGATCTAGGGGCCAAACAATGAACAAGAGTCCAAAGTTTATGAAAATCGGATGAGATTTGACCGAGTTATGGGAGTGGGAAGTTTTGACCAATGTCTATATAGGATTTTAGAAGGTAAAATTTGACATGAATTTCGACCAAAAATAGTGTTGCCAGATTTTGATGCCAAATTGATCTAGGGACAAAACCATGAACAAAAAGCCAAACTTTATGAAAATCGGATAAGATTTGACCAAGTTATGGGTGTGGGAAATTTCGACCTATGTATAAATAGGATATTTAGGGTACCATTTTCACATGAATTTCGACCAAAAATAGTGTTGCCAGATTTTGATGCCAAATTGATCTAGGGACAAAACCATGAACAAAAAGCCAAACTTTATGAAAATCGGATAAGATTTGACCAAGTTATGGGTGTGGGAAATTTCGACCTATGTATAAATAGGATATTTAGGGTACCATTTTCACATGAATTTCGACCAAAAATAGTGTTGCCAGATTTTGATGCCAAATTGATCTAGGGGCCAAACCATGAACAAAAAGCCAAACTTTATGAAAATCGGATAAGATTTGACCGAGTTATGGGAGTGGGACATTTTGACCTATGTCTACATAGGATATTTGAGGGTATCATTTCGACATGAATTTTGACCAAAAATGATGTTGTCAGATTTAGATGCCAAATTGATCTAGGGGCCAAACAATGAACAAGAGTCCAAAGTTTATGAAAATCGGATGAGATTTGACCGAGTTATGGGAGTGGGAAGTTTTGACCAATGTCTATATAGGATTTTAGAAGGTAAAATTTGACATGAATTTCGACCAAAAATAGTGTTGCCAGATTTTGATGCCAAATTGATCTAGGGACAAAACCATGAACAAAAAGCCAAACTTTATGAAAATCGGATAAGATTTGACCAAGTTATGGGTGTGGGAAATTTCGACCTATGTATAAATAGGATATTTAGGGTACCATTTTCACATGAATTTCGACCAAAAATAGTGTTGCCAGATTTTGATGCCAAATTGATCTAGGGACAAAACCATGAACAAAAAGCCAAACTTTATGAAAATCGGATAAGATTTGACCAAGTTATGGGTGTGGGAAATTTCGACCTATGTATAAATAGGATATTTAGGGTACCATTTTCACATGAATTTCGACCAAAAATAGCGTTGCCAGATTTTGATGCCAAATTGATCTAGGGGCCAAACAATGAACAAGAGTCCAAAGTTTATGAAAATCGGATGAGATTTGACCGAGTTATGGGAGTGGGAAGTTTTGACCAATGTCTATATAGGATTTTAGAAGGTAAAATTTGACATGAATTTCGACCAAAAATAGTGATGCCAGATTTTGATGCCAAATTGATCAGGGACAAAACCATGAACAAAAAGCCAAACTTTATGAAAATCGGATAAGATTTGACCAAGTTATGGGTGTGGGAAATTGCGACCTATGTATAAATAGGATATTTAGGGTACCATTTTCACATGAATTTCGACCAAAAATAGTGTTGCCAGATTTTGGTGCCAAATTGATCTAGGGACAAAACCATGAACAAAAAGCCAAACTTTATGAAAATCGGATAAGATTTGACCAAGTTATGGGTGTGGGAAATTTGGATCTATGTCCATATAGGATATATAGAATATTTTAAGATACGATTTCCACACGAATTTCGACCAAAATGAATGTTGCCGTCTTCTATTATAAAAGAATACCCTAAAACCAATATTTTAGGAAACCTTACATTAAAATTTAGAAAATTTAAATCAAATGAAATAATTCGTAAATTTAGGAAATGCTTTTAGATGTTCCACAGAATAACTTAATAATAAAAGATCTAGCACAATTACCACCAACCTATTTATAAAACCAGCGATATGGCCTCAAATAATGTCAATAGCTTACGTATGTTTAAATATTCCGCAACATTTATCAAAATTATTCGAAAACTGTTTGCTCGAAAATCAAATTGGGGTTCAGCTCAAGTTCCGAATAGTGCAAATAGACATTGCCGCCCCTAAATAAATAAACAACGCTTATTGAGAAGCATTTTAAATGTCTTTTAGTTAGGCATTCTACTTAATTAGGGAAATGGCGTTTCGGTTCTATCAATCATATTCTATGTACTCTGTGTACACATGTGTATAAAAACACCCTCAAAGTGCGTGCACGTGAATTTACGTTTACATATATAAGTATATATGTTTATATGGCAGACGCGCGGCTTTGCGCGGGGGTGTGTCTGACTTCTAAGGGTTGAAATTACTAGACAGTCAAATGGTCAACACATTTCGCCTCCCGGAAAATCTTTGCACTTGCTCTGCAGACCCGGACAGCTGAAATTATAGGCACTCAATGCTATCTCTGGGCACAGCTGTGGCAGGAATTGCGTTTTGCCAGGTGCGTGGCAGACGTAACTGATTGAATTTCCCTTTAAAGAGGTTTTTAAATGCAACCAGCTGAAATATGTAATTGAATATGACAATTTCCCTTTCGAATTGTAAGCAATTGGGCATATAACAATTTTCCTTATTAGATTAGCAATCTGAGGAAATTATAGCCAGGTTAAGGCGTCTCACTATCTGCATGTTCCTTGTGAACTCGACTGTCTTAGAAGCCAGCTTTATCAAATTTATAATGCTTCCTTTTGCTCTAGGCAATACATAAGTCTAAATTGGCTCTATTTTACCCACTTGTATAATTTTATACCCTGAACACATTAAAAATGGGTATAAGGGTATATTGTATTTGTGCGAAATCCAAATGTATGTAACAGGCAGAAGGAAGCATCTCCGACTCCATAAAGTATATATATTCTTGATCAGCATAAATAGCTGAGTCGATCTAGCCATGTCCGTCTGTCTGTCTGTCTGTCCGTCTGTCTGTCTGTCCGTCTGTCTGTCTGTCCGTCCGTATGTATGAATGCAAGGATCTCAGAACCTATAAGAGCTAGAGACTTGAAATTTTAGATGTAGGTGCTCCTAGTGCCTGCGCAGATCGAGTTTGTTTCCGATAATCGATAACTTACTCCGTTTCCAAGCAATCGATAAAAATCGATATCGATATCCTGTTTTTTGCGCAATTTTGGTAAATAATAAGAGCTAGAGTCACCAAACTTGACATATAGCTTCTAAAATAGAATATATATATGTATATGCATTTGATGTTGGAAGAAGAGGGTTCAGGGTATCCCCTAGTCGGAAGCTCCCGACTAGAACCTCTTACTTGTTTCCAGTTACAAAAATGGTTCTTATAAGAATTACTTTGTTTTTCTAAATATCTCAACCAAATATATTATAATCATGCTATAACTCCTCATTTGGCTTCATAGCTTCATACAGGCTGATATTTCAGTTTCTCTCAGTGCACTATGGGCCTGATATCTAAACTCTGCTAATATCAATATCAGCTACATATAGCGCTATAAGACATTTCGACCATTTCATAAGTATACACTGACTGTAAACATAGATATACCGCACATCTGCCGCATGTCTGAAAGGGTATTGCAACTTCGGTTTACCGAAGAAAACTCCCCGCTTAAGATCAGCTTATAAAACAATAATACAATTAAATGTTAAGGGCAGCGCAGCTTTCAACAGCCCAAAAGAGAGCTATGCTTTCCCAGTTCTTATACTGCTCTCAACAACGCCGCAAAGTCGGCTACACATTAACAGTTAGCTGTAGCTCTCTCTCTCTTATACTTACGCTTATACTTAAGCAGCATTGGCGCCCAACCGCATGAGCACAATAGACCAAAGACCAAAACAGCTGGACGTGCCGCTGCTTGTTCTTGTTGTTGTTGTTGTTGTGGTGATTGCGCCTGTTGTTGTTGCTGTTGCTGCTGCTGCGCTGCTGTGGTTGTGTTGGTGCCAGTGACAATCGCTTGCTTCTGCTTGGCTGCTCGCGCGCTGCGTTTAGTTTTCACTCGAACGGCGAAGCGTTGGCAACGCGCACGCGGAACGCGAACGAAAAAAAAAAACAATTAGCGAGCCACACGACGAGGCAACGTTTTGGCTTCAGCTGCCGCCAAAAACCAAAAACACAACCGTAAAATGTACACATAAAAACACAAAAACAAAAAAAAAACACCCAAAAAATATATATACACAAAATAAAAAAAAAAAAAAAACGCTTTTTTGAAAACACCGCGCGACGCGAGCTTTGCGCTGTTTGTTGTTGTTGATTCGGGTTTTTTATAGTTTTGTGATTTCTGTTTTGCCCATTGTTTTGCTTTTGGTTTTTCTCGAAATTTATTTTTGTAGTTTTAACGTATATCAATATACAGTGCGGTATTTTTTGGCTTTGATAGCCGCCTTTCTTCTTCTTGTTGTTGTTTTTATAGTTCCACTTCGTCGTCTGCTTCGTGTTGAATTCAAATATTTTAGCTAAAAAAACCAAAAAAAAAAAAACAAAATAAAATTTTAAAAAATTTTATACACGCAGCATTTCATGCGACATTTGTGCGGATACTGAAACAGTTTTGAAAACTTGTGCGTGCTTTTTTCGCAGTTTGTGCTCTTAAATCAATATTAATATGAAAATGGGCTTGTATAAATAGAAATTATAAATAAAATCCATTTTGCAATTTCAATTTTAATTAGCATATAAACGTTGAAAGTAAACAATTTGACGCTGAATATAATGTGAAGAATTTCTCAAATTGCCGGAAACAAAAGAATTTTATTTGAAACGGATATTTGAAAATTATATATAAGTATATATAACGAAATATTGGAAATCTTTTCAGTTCTGGTTTTGATAGATTTTGTAAATTTACTTAAAATGTGTATTAGTTGAGAATGCTGTGCTCGTTGATATCCCGTAATTTATAAATAACTTTTATTTAGGCTTAACTCTGGATTGTCTTTTGGCGGGGGTTACGACAAATTTCCCAAAGCTTGATCTGTTTATGGTATGAGAGAGAGAGAGGGGGACAGAGCGTGCTCTTGTTCTTATAGTCTATGAGATCACACACCTGGTTCACACCTTTCTGTTGGGTTTGAGCGCAGACTCGAGTCGAAATAAAGCTCATATATAGATTTTATGATCTTGGCACAGGCCACACGGCTGCCAAATTACCAAGTGTGGCCTCTCCCAAAGTCTATTCAAACAGAAATGTATCAAAAAAGACGCACATTGAGTCACAATCGAAAACCCACTCAAAAATTGTGATGTCATATTCATTTCGAATGTTATTAAAAGCGAAAACTAAAGCTAAAAAGGCACAATACGGAAAAAAACTCCAAACCTAAACCAAAACCCGTTTCCGCAGAGGACACGCACACGGCAAGGCGCAGGAGCCAGGGGAGCGAGGGGGGAGAGTTCCGATTCGGCTCCATTCGCATGTTGCATTCGCTTCAAGGATATTCAATACAGTCCCCGAGTAAAACCAAATAGTAGAACAAAGCAAAAAATGGCATGTGAAAGACATGGAAATGAAGTCATCAGCTCAATTGAGAGCAACAAACAAAACAAGTCTGAATGCTAGAGTTGAGCTGGCGCGACTACGAGATGCCCTGTAAAGTATATTAAAACTGATTCCCAGTCAGATTCGATATTTTCTGGATTTACTTGAAGAAGTTCCTTGTCTTTTAGGGGAAAAGTTTCTAGATAAATAGAATTTCGACTAAGTTATGCTTTCTCTTAATTTTAAAGAAATATTTTCACATTTCTGGAAGTTTTTTTTTAACTAATAAATACTTAAGATAAAGTTAAGTTGCCTGAGATATATGCTAATCGATATGAAGTCTTGGATTTTGGAAGATCATATAAAAGTATATATTAGGCCGAAATATGCTTCCTTGACATACATTTTCAACACATTATGCTACCCTTTCAACACCTACTCCCAGCTACAGGGCATAAAAATCAATGAACTATATGTATATGGTACATAAACCTATATATACTTCTAGTATAGTGTTTTTTTACAACTCTCCTGGTTTTACGCAATGAAAAGTGCAATTTGTGTGGCGACTGCCCGGCGCCAGAGCCGTGGGAAAATTATAAAGTGCACCCTTGCACTCCTGCACACTCTACACCCCACACCCTACACCCTACACCCTGCAACCGGCAATTGGTAGCACCTTCCTCCCCCCGCTGTTCACCACAAACTCATTTTGTCGCTGTTTTTAACATTTTCCACACCATTTGCCCGAGTAATTAAATTAGCCAAGCGCGCCAAAAACGAAACTCAATTGACGCAAGGATAACGCAAGGGTAGAGAGGGAGGCACACACAGGGCCGGTGGGTGGTTGTAGGGTATGTGGCAGTTGGGTAACCTTGGTAACTAATTGCAGAACATTAAATACTGCGTGTGACAGGCACCGGGGCAAACGACCAGGACAGCGTTACGCAATTCTGCCAAGGACGACACCAATTCTACTCAAATAATACCCTGTAAATGGCTGATATATTGTATACTGACTTTTGGCATGAACTAATGAAAAATTATATGCCAATTAATTTTTTGTCTTGACAACAGGGTATATATTAGTCGACCAGCATCAAGTACAGCATTTATACATGATCTTAACAGAAATTTGATCATATCTACATACCCCATATAAGAGTTATATTTTAAAGAAATGTTTAATCAAGGCTACAGGGTATATGCTAGTCGAGGTGCCTCAGTTGTAGCACTTTCATTTGATTTCTATACATTCTTAACTATATTTATCTGTTCTATACGAAATTTGTATTTTAAACATATCTTTAATCTTGGCTACAGGGTATATGCGAGTCGAGCAGCCACCACAACATTATAACTATATGGTTTTCATAGAATTTGTACTACATTTATCTGTTCTAAACGAACTTTCAATTATAAACAAATTTCTAATCTTGGCTACAGGGTATATACCAGTCGAGCAGCGCCAAGTACAGCATTTTTATTTGATTTTCATAGCATTTTTATTTTGCGCCGATGACGTCGATGTTGTCATCGCACCAGAATACGATAATTGCTCTACTATAACCTTGCCACATGGTGCTCTATGACATAGTTTCTGCCTGAGGCGAACCTGTAACTGCCCCTTTATGCAAAATGCGAAATGGGTTTGTGGGTCTTACGAGTCAAACTTTTCTGAAAGTGGGACAAGACAATCACGGGGGTTGTTTCAGGAGCGTAGCCTATATAAAAGGGTTTCTCTCTTGCTTGTTAACTTTTCAATTTATCACAATAGATACTCGGATAAGATCTTAAAGATCTCTCTCTCTCTCTCTCTTTCTCTCTCTCTCACTCTCTGCTTCGCAATATTTTTATGTGATTTATATCATTTAGATAAAAGATTCTTTTGTTTTTGTTATACAAATATTTTATAACCCTCGGCCCATGGCTAATTCTCTTTTCACAAAAGGCACAAAAAAAAACAAAGGTGGCAACAATCAACCCTTTTCTTGTCCCTGCTCTCACTGAACCCCGAAGAGAAAGCCGGCTATAAAATACTTATACACAAGGCGTGCCATTAATAAATATAGAACCCAAAATCTACGCAGCACACGGCAAATAAATGCGACACGAATTATTTGCTAGGCTGGAATAGAAACCACCCCGTGGCAGATTAGGAGTGTGACGAAAACCACCCTTAGGCGCAAGACAATCCAAGAACCACCCTCAAGATCGTAGCACGAAATACTTTAAGACATTAGACAAAAACTGTGTATACACGTATATTTCTTGAACTGAAACGTAAGCTTGAACTTGAATTGGCAGCGACTTTATCAAGAGCTAACCGAACAGAAACCAGACAAACAACTTTGCGAAGCTCAAACCGGCAACAGACATTCTAACAATGGAGCCTAAGCGACGAGTGGAGGGTTGAGGGTCTGCCAAGCGGAGTCAGGCATAAAATGAAATGAACAAAATAAATACGAAAAAAAATAAGATAATAATGAAATTTAAATCACAAAAAGACGCAACGAAACGCGAAGCGTCGGAGTGTGTCCGCCGCCTATGACATCATATTCGCGTCTCATTAATGAACTAATCCGCGGAGCACTCTTTCAATTTTTTTGTTTTTTTTTTTTTTTTTTTTGGCCAACATTAGTTCAGTCCAATTATGTCAGCTGTATACACACAATTTATATATATATATATATATATATATATGTTTTATGATCTTGCCTCAGATTTACTTATAATTGGAACAGAGTCTTGGGCATTATCATTATAAACTCGTCCGTCTCGGCACATCTGTTGGCACTTTCAATAAATGCGCTGCACATGTTAATATGCTTATGGATTTATGTGGGCTTCCAAATATTCTATATAACATAACAAATAATATATATAAAAAGGGCAATGTTATAAGTCTTAAGCAAATATGTATGTCTGCATATGTCTGTATATGTCTGCATGTGTCTGCATGTGTCTGCATGTTTCTGTATATGTCTGCATGTGTCTGCATGTGTCTGCATGTGTCTGCATGTCTGTAAAGCCGCCACGTTTCTTTTCGCTTTTGAGCTCATAGCTTTTGATTTTTATGCGAAACAAGAAAGAAACACGAAGAAGATTTGTAAGTTAAAGCTGTGCAGATTTTCGAGAAGAATAGTAAAGCTCGTAATAGCTGAAAAGTTTGCCATACAAAAACTACTTTTCGACCGATTCTGCTAACTTATTGATATAGTCCGATGTGGATACAACTTTTCTCATAGCTGATCAAAGTTTGATTGAGATATAATTAAAAACAAAAAAGATTTCTATACAAAAACTCCCTTCGAACGATTTTCTTCACAGAGTTCGATGCAAATAAGATTTTTTGTTTATATAAGACATCGTAAATTCCAAATTTGGCTGAAATATTTTCAAAAAAATACAAGAACTTAATTTTCAACTAATCACACCCATGATAACTATAAGATATAGTGATCCGATCCTGTCGATTCTGGCATATGTATATAATGTATATATATATACATAAGACGAATCTACGTAAAGTTTTAGACAGATGATGACATACGATCTATTTTAAAAATATTCAATTTGATTTATTATGCGCTGGGAATGATTAGCATCTGCTTATCTCCACTCAGAGTATTTACAATAGTGGGATA